ACGTCAGCATCGTACACCCATGGGCAAAATGGTGGACGCTGAATTGACCCATCAGAGCGCGCGCTTTACTTTGATTGTGTTGTAATCATGGCTGAGACGTTCATACCATTTATTTTTTGTTTTAACTATTTGATGTCATCTTTTACCATTATCGTAATATAATTGTATTTAGGGTCGAAAATATATGTCATCTTACTCTAAAATGTACACCCACACCGATCTATTCTCAGAATGAAATATTCGCACAACACTTGCATCATTCATGACTGTTTCTTGGTTGCATGACCAAATGTCTATTCCCTGCTTTGCTTTCAATCAATTAAGTCAACAAACTGAGCTTACGTTCTTCGGCATTGGCTTGTAAGGTTTCTTCTCCCGAGACATAGTAAAGATTACACATTAGGAAATCCAATAAAATATGAAAACAATGGAGCTGTGGGATTGTAAAAAGCTTCCTGGCCGTGCACAATGTTTTATTTGAATTCAAACATTGTGATCAAATAAATTAATAGATAGTTTCTATTGGATAGTAAGTTAATTGTTATGCCTTTGGACTTTGTGCATGGTCAGGGTTTAAAAGCCTACCAAGAACCCATAATAAAGAAATCTGTTGGTTCTTCCTAGCATACACCTCTGATCTCCTCTTCAAAGAGCAAAATGCACCTGGCCATTGGAGGCAAATGCAGCTCAGAGCTCAGATTTGTTTTTTGTGACGTTCTGATCTTCTTGAGGAGTAGCGATTTGAACAACTATTTTTCCAGTGTTCTGGTTCGACTCCATCCTGTTGTGAGCAAGCTGTATTTGATCCATTGTAAACACTGAGTCCACAATGGTCTTCAGTTTTCCAGTGGCAAATAGTGGAACAATGTTTGCAGTAAATGCCTGCACCAATTCAGCTTTGTACTGTATAAAAAAATAAAAAAAAATAAAAAAAAAAAAAATTAGCAAAATAGGGAAAATACAAAATGTGATTTGGTAATCTCATTTCCAGGGTCTTTCCCAACCCTGTAAAAGGGTTGCCAAATAATGGAGATCGAGGAATGATACATTTCATCGATATGGAAACAGTGCACTACAATGTAAGACTTTACTTTTCTGCTTTCCTATGGGCCACCACTCTTCAAAACAAATAACTTACCTCAAGAGACCTGCTTCTTAGTGTTGTGGCTCTGAGAGATCCCCTCTTTTTTAACAACTCTCTAAGTAAGTTCCCACTGACGTTTCCTCCTCCTAACAGACCATACAGAACCCAACGACCATCAAGAGCAAGGCTCCTGATGTTTTGTTCCCAGAAGGAACTGCCAATGCAGTCAAGAATCACATCTGCCCCTTTTCCTAAGAAAGCAACGAGATCTAAAATCTAAACACGAGACACTTGTTGCTATAGAGAGCAAAGGCCTAGCAGATTGTAAGTAGTAAAGTAAAAAGTTCTATGATTGTGTTATTATGGTATCCAGTTATTAGCTTCAGTATTTCTGTCAGCTGAAAACTAAGAGAAAATCTTTCATTGGAAGAATTCCTCAACCTTGTGAGAGGTAGGAGGTTAAAAACAAATGTGTTCCACAAACTACTACAAAATAAAACGAACTTTTGTAGTTTAAGAAATACAACTTTCCATCAAAATTTGGCCACTCTTCAACATGCATATTATTTTTCACCCTAACCTTCCAATTTCAATAGTAAAATAGTGATTACAGTAGACAAACGTCATTTACGAGGTAGTATAATGACACAGCTCCTAATGTTTTGTTATTATAAAAGCAGCTTATGGGGAAAATTTTGAATCAGGTCTTTGGAGGTGAAGGGTCAGCTAGAACCAGTGAAGGAGGGTTCAAGTAAGCACAAGAAAGATACAGGGAGATTTCTATGACCAACTTCTTTTAAAAAACATAAGCAGATAAAATTAAGCTACTCATTGTCATCAACAGCATGAAGAGCATAAAGAATACATGAACTATCAATGAATACTAAAATACCTTCCGTAACACTTTCTATCCAGTTAGAAAAATCTCCTGTCTTATAGTTGAAGCCTCCCTTGGCTCCAAGTGACTCTGCCATTTTGATCTTTTCCTCTGAGCCTGCAGTCACATATGGCTGTGCTCCAGCCACAAGTGACAGCTGCACCAGTGCTGTACCAACGCCACTGCCTCCAGCATGAATAAGAACCACATCACCCCTCTCAACTCTCCCAAGAAAGTGCAGGAGTTGATATGCTGTCAGCCATGCTTCAGGAATGGCTGCAGCATCTAAAAGTTTAAGGGAGTCAGGTGCAGGCATGACGAGGACTTCTTCAACAGCAACATATTCAGCATATCCGCCTCCTTGTCAAAAAAAACAATAAACAAGCATTACAATTACAGTGGAATGCACACTCAAGAATTTTAACCCAGTGGCATGGCTAGGCTCCATTATCTCCCTTTCACCTCCTCTCCCGAGAGATTCCCATCAGTGCCTCTGCAGAATGTAACGGATTAAAGCCTAAAATAAATACCTACTTCCATTTCCTAACACACTCCTCTCCCACCTCTTCTATCACACCAGACACCTCAAGTCCAAGAATGTCTGATTCCCCAGCTGGGGGAGGGTAGAGTCCTCGCCGTTGGAGAGTGTCAGCCCGATTTAATGCTGTGTATTCTACGCGGATCAACACTCGTGTGTTTTCAGCTGTTGGCTTTGGGGTTGTGGCAATATAAAGGTTCTCAACGCCACCGGGCGTAAATAGAACGGCTTTCATTTTAGGTTTTCCAAAGACGACCGTGGTGGCTAGAAATAAATATCGAAGTACAACCACAAGAAATTTCTGTGATCTCATGATCCCCTCGTGGCGTGAGAGCCTGGGACGAGCAGAAGTTTGTCTCTATTTGAAGTAGTTAATCAATTACTCAAACTACTGCAGGTAAGAGTAGAGTGGGCTCAACTTTTGAGAGCTCTACAGAGCTTTCTAGCTATCGATATCCCAAGAGTTTGCAATCTCGCGGTTACAAAACGAACATAGACGAATTTCAAGTCGCCACCTTGCCCATGCTAATTTTCATTGCGGTCAGCACTCTTTGGGATGTCGCACAACGCTTCCTTGGAGGAGCTTCTTTTGGCTTAAATTAGAGAAAAGCCACGAAAGACAACTGGAGAATAACTCCTCTGCAAACGGACCGGCAGAACCAACAATAAATTACCGGTGAGCCATTCAGTAGAAACTGCACTTTTTCTCTCTTTTTTTTTTTTTTTTTTAGCTCTTCTATGGATAGTTTAATTTATTATTGATATTGATACCAACTGAAAAGTCTTGCACTCCCCCTAATTCACCGTTCATAAACCAGAACTGCTGACATTCAGTGCGTGTTAACTGTACAGATACCGACTGGGTGTGCGTGTGTGCGTGCGTGCGTGCGTGCGTGCGTGTGTGTGTGTGTGTGTGTGTGTGTGTGTGGGGGGGGGGGTAGCGTTGTGTTGCAGTCCTTTACTAAAATAAAATGAA